GTATATATAGGTCCCCTAACTATATAAAAATATATAAATATATAAAAAATAACATCTAAGACAAAACCACGTAATTCAGTATGTATGTGTGTGCCACCCGAAATCTTGTTTAGGGCTTCAAATTGGCTAGGGGTATCATGCAAAGTCCTAAAGAACTACAGACAACATTTATAAGTGAATTTACAAGTATAAGTTTGTAATTTAATTTCAATTCATGCCAGAGTTTATTTCAGCCGGTACTCACAGAAGGCACCACACCTTTAAGACTTCACTTCAATACATTTTAAATGGAAGGTTGCGTAAAAGTAGGTAGCTGAAAAAGAGACAAATTCTCTGTTGAAGTGACTTTATGTCGACAAAAAGAACATCACTGTGTGGCCACGCATCAAGCATAACAGACAGCCGTGGCACCGAGGTCGCTTCTGTTTTTTTGGACCGCTTCACCTTCTTTTACTTGGCCATCATTTCAGACATTAAAATACACAAAGACGTTCGGCCAGTGCACTTTGTAGCACGAGCAGCCAAACGGTCTGGTTCCTCTCTGTTTAAAATGCAGAGTCTCGCAGAACGACAGAAAACATTTCCACAGACATAATGTACACAGATGTTCACAAACCTCGCCTGTTCTCTCTAGGATTGAGAAAGGTTTTCTTTCCACTGCTAATTAAAAATTATGCAAACCTTACAGAAAAAAATGCATGTTCAGTCAGAGGTAAAAAAAAAAAATTCTATATGTGGTTGTAGGACATCTTGCAAAAACTTAATGTTATTATACATGAACTTTGACCTTTATTAGGGWTGGGCAATCCTGGTCCTGAGGGCCGCTGTCCTGCATGTTTTACATCTTACCCTGCTCCAACACACCTGATTCAGTGATTTATTTATTTTCTTGAGTTCCGCAGAAGCCTCTACAGTAATCACCCATTCGTTGAAATCTGGTGTGTTACAGCAGAGGAAACTCTAAAGCATGCAGGATAGTGGCCCTTGAGGACCAGGATTGRCCATCTTTGTTCTAGATAAAAATCAGATCAAACTGTTTAACAGAAACACCTGCAACTGATCTGAACTGTCAAATTATTTTGATAGAAATGTGAATAATGAGTATAGATGAAAGTGAAAACGTTCAGCTGGCAATGTCAAACATTTTCAAACGTCTTAAAACTGCACAGTATTATCCATGTGTATGTAAGTTCCCATTTATATAAATGCTATAATTGCATGCTAGCCATATACATTATATACACAAGTTGTATTAATTCAATAAGAAAATGTAATGTCTCACAATAAGTGTGAAATTTGTACGTATTTCTTGTTTTCTTCTACGTTTTTGCCCTAATTTTCTCTTTTCAATCCATCTTTATGTAATAAAGTTGAAACTGAAAACCCAGAAATGCCCACAGCTGTGAATGAACTCAAACTYTTTTTGTCACAAGCAAAATGGTTGTCTTAGCTGATTATTTTCAGCAGATAAATTAATTCACAAAGTCCTATATTCATTCATACAACTTTGCTTCCTCGAAAAATCAACAACTGGAACAAAGTTTTGCTGTCACAAAACACAGAGAGGAGGTTTTGACACAGCAGAGGGTTCCTTTATGTCTGAAAGTTGAGCTTGTTTTGTTGTTTGGTTWCTCCCTGCCTTGAGCTATCGTAACAGTAAAGCCGGATTCTTCGRAGGAATTATCAAGTTGATATTTTTAAACCCAAGCAATATTATCAACTGGGTTAAAGTGTGTGTTTTGAGCGTAGGAATGTGATACAGTGGCTCTTTGAGCTCGAGGCGTCACAAAAGGAAGTATCGGTTTTAACCTATCGACAAGTAAACATTTCAGATGCCCTTCTCAAATTGTCTCGAAACCTTTACAGTATTACACCAGGCTGCCTTTTTTTGTCTTCATTATCTTAAAATGCATCTCAAAGCAGAATCCTCATCTTTTTTTATTTTTTGCTTTCTTACCTCTCTTCWATGCGCACCCAAAGGTCATTAAAATGCCGGTTCCGCTGTTTCTTCTGCTTGTTCCGCCTTTTTTTCTTCAGCATCTTCCTCTGCGCTTTCTCTAGCAGATCCAAGCTATCAGGTGGAAGAATCATGTGGGGTAAAAGATCTTCCTCCTGGGGTCGCCCATCGTCCTCGGCCTTGTGGGACAGCTCATGGAGGAARGGCTCCAGTGGAGGGGACTCGTCTTGGTGGTCTTCCATTGCTGGCGAAGCAGATATGATGGATGATCTCCTGGAGGACAAACATAAAAGGATAAGATGATTTTAAAAGGAAGGAAATGAGAAACCTAACGTATGTTGAAATTGGTGAAAACACTGTTTTTTCAGGGTTTAGCGCCTAAATTCTCTGTGCACAAGCATTGTTTTGTAAACTCTGGCCTTGTGGTAACCCTTCACAGCACTCAACTATGAATAGGTCAGATGCAGGTTCATTTCAGTCCCATATCAAACACTGGGCTTGTGTGTGAGTTGATTTACTCATTCATTCGCTCACCCACAGGAACAGGAACACAGATTGAGGCTGAGATAGCCACCCGCAGAGTCGCACGCTCCACCGACTGCACTACAAGCTCCTCAGAAGGAGGTACAAGCTTGACTTTATTTGGTCTTTTCAGCACTACTTCATTGGTGGTCATTTGTTTATTGTTTTTTTTTTTTCTTTTTCAGGCTTATCTGCTTATCACAGTCAGTAATGTGGGAGCAGTCAAAAATGGACAAGTACCTATACAGAACGAAAGGCGATGGTGAGAATAGTTTTTTTGCTGAGACTGGAAAATGTAAACACGAGATGCGTGGTATGATAGTCTGTACCGGTATGTGTGGGAAAACTGTTGAGCGCTTTGCGTCTTTGTCATGTTGGGTTTTTGGAACATTTTGAAAAAAAATGTTTTGTCCCCTGGCAGAACGGCGGCTCAGTTTGTAGAGTTGATGCCTCTCAGCAAGAAGGTCGCTGGATCAAATCCCAGCCTGGGAACCTTTTTGAGTAGAGGTTGCATGTTCTCTCTGTGCATATGTGGGTTTTCTTCAGGCACTCTAGCTTACTCCCACATTTCATAAACATGACTGTTAGGCTAACTTGGAACTCTAAATTGTCCCTAGGTGTAAATGGTTGTCTGTTTGGTTAGTCTCTATATGTGGCCCTGTGATGGACTTGCGATCTGTCTAGGGTGTACCCTGCCCCTCGCACTGTGACTACTGGATATGGGCACCAGTGACCCTTAAAGGAAGAAGTGGGTATAGATAATGGACGGATGAATGTTTTGTGCCCAGTAAACATTTATTACTAGCCTGGCCCTTGCCTTCCTARGCAGTTCCGCTCAGTTCTAGTTTCCCTTCACTGCTCTGTCTGGGATTTCTCCCATAGACAAGGATTTCTTCAGGYGAATTTCACTTAGGCCAATCAGCGAACAGAAGGCAGGGTTTTGAACAACGTCGATTTTCTGCGCAGTATCTGCTAGTGAGTTTAGCAATGGCAGTGGAGGAAGTGAATGAAGCCAGTCCGTGTTGATAAGGCTTCCAAATTTAATTTGTCTGACAAAGCAGCAGCTCTCATTTACAGTCGTCTCATTCGGCTCGGTACTTCTCTCTTCTCAGTAGGGTTGTTTACAGCGCACACAATTTCCAGTTAGCTTCTTAGCTTAGCCTCCTTCACAGTGGAGCTGGTGTACACATATGCCACGGCCAACCGATCCAATCATTTTAAACTTTGACAGAGGCCACYCCTCCAGCAAGAACAGCTTCTCTATAGCCGAGAGTCCAGACCCTTGCACGAAGCAAAGCGAAGGACAAGGGTCTAGTTTTAACCAGGCTAACTTATTACTAATCAAGTGTTAAAAGATGTTAATTGTTATAAAACAGGTCATTCAGATTTCAGGAGAATTTTTAAGGTTGTAGAATTATAATGCAAAATCTTAAGTTTCAAAATCAATTCTATTATGTCTAACTGAAGGGACTTCTAATATGGAAAGCATAGACCGCAATCAGTAAAATATCTAACTACCTGCAAGATAGAAAAAAGCAAAAAGATGCAACAGAAGAGTAATGGGTGTTAGCCAATAGATCACCCTGAATGTGAAACACTGTAACAGATAATGTCCTGCTAGACGATTATGAGTGTGTTAAAAATGTTTTATTGATTAAATTACCTCTTTATGGGCTGTCCAGCAYGGGTGTGCTCCACCTCGTAACCTTGGCGGCGAAGGACATCGATGACTGTGTTGTTGCCAAGAAAATGACCTACAGCCAAGATAATAAGAACTGATGAGTCCCATTTTCACTTAGTTAATGATGATCTATTACAACCTAATGGAAACAAGACAGCTAAGACCAAGAGTTGCACCTTTTTTGGGGATTATAAGAAGAATGCAATTAAGTTAAGGAAGACAATCCAAGAATGCAACATAGGAATAATGGTGAACGAGCACAAGGGCTTTGCACTAGCTGACACTTAACACCCACACACTCACAGTCAGATTGGATCCTTTTTCAACATTTAAGTCATTTATGTATTAAGAACTTGGGGAATTTATGGGAGTCAGTGTATTGAATGATATTTGCATTATAATTTCCTTTTGACAAGTTAATACTTGGAAAAATGGCAACATATTTCACAACAAAAATGAAAATAGATTTCACTTATGTTTAAAGGGGGTATTACTGTATGTGTTTTCAAGGCACATTGTTCACTTCTATGCCACAATCAAGTAACCTTAGGTTGTTATGAAAATGCTGTATATATCAAAAATTAATTTGACTTTGCGTTGTAGTTTATCCAAATGTCTAAAATTGGCCTCTGTCTTTTTAAGAACCTCCTACTGTTTCTGACACTCCCACTTCTCTATGTTTACTACAGAGGTCTATGAAGTACTTGAATGAAATAACTAAATAAAAGTAAAAATGCCCTAACAGAAAATGACTGGCAAAACTGTGTTTCACTGATAAGAAAAGTACTTAAGTAAAAGTCATAAAACTGCTCACAATAACTGGGAAAGTAAAATAAAAATAAAAAAAATTTAACACACACTCCCGGCATCCCAAATTAACATTTAACTATGACATTATAGATATTATAGCCTTTATAAAAAATATTATTTTGGAAGTCACCTTCCAATAAATGTCATTTTGAAAATTCTAAATTCTAAATTATTTTACTCAATACTTTTACTTTTAATATGTAAGTACATTTTATATCAGAAATTTACTTTTGATACTTAAGTACAGTAAATATCAGATATTTTAAGACTTTTACTCAAGTAATATTCTTAGAGAAGACTAACTTTTACCAAAGTAATTCTTGAACTTTTACTCCAGTATCACTTAAAAGTATTTGATACAACACCTGTTTGGTTTTCAAACAATGCTTCAGGGGAGGGGTGCTCTGTTAGGCAGGAGCTCAGCTGCAGACTAAGCTCCAAGGAGGAGCTTTGGGTAAATAGGTGGAGCTTTGTACCAGTAAGCATTTAGGCAGATTCACATGACTACCAAGGATTTCTTAAACATGCATGAAGGAGTCAAAGCAACACTCTGGATATGTTTTTAATGAGGGAATAATATCATAACATGATATAAAGCTGAAAAAAGTATATTTTGCACAATACTTCCCCTTTAAAATAAACCTAAAGAAATGTTGATTGTAATTATTGGTTTGCTTGCTTTTATGAAGATGAAACCAGGGGAAATTGAACATTACCCAATCTGATTTTTCTTTTTTTAGATAAACATTTCTATAAAATGTAGTACAAAAACCATGTTGTTTGTCACATTCTGAATTATTAACTATCTCACAGGGCACTGGGCTGTGACAATATGGAAAACTAGGGTTTGTATGACCTTGGACACTTTTTAACTTTCCATTCTTGTCATCTGATATTCTTCCTGTTAAAATAAATTACTCTTCTGCTGCTGGGTGTATCCCTTCACCCCTGATCATTCTCCATCAATACTTTTTATATTGAACCTCCATTTTTGTATTCTATTTTTAACTCTCCATTCTCCCTCTTACTTATTTTTCACTTCCCCTTTACTCCCCCTTCCCCTCTTTCTTCGTGTGACCCTCTCAGTTAGGTGAAGTGGGTGCATTGAAGCTTCAGGTTGCCATGTCAAGAGGTCTCCATTCTTCCTCTCATTCTGACAAAGGGGAGCAGTGGTCCATTGTTTGGGCCTGCTCAGCCGTGGCACCAGAGAGCTGTGTAAACAATGAGCCCCAGCACTTTAATCTGGCCAAGAGCCACCGATAGAAGGAGGTTAGTCCATAAGCACTATGGGTGTTGTGATGCTGCACCGTGACGTGGCCGAAACGATGTCAGAAAATGGAACAGCAGTAGAAGCAATCCATAAAGAATCCACAATCAGCATCGCAACAAAAAACTTTTTTATGCAAATGTTGCCACTTTCACTATGATACTTTATAATTTGTGTATTTTTATTATTAGGCCACAGTTCAAATCTTTGAATGCTTTAAGAAATGACGATTATTTGCCCATATCTTAATCTTGGGGTGCATTCCTCATATCAAAACTGTTCAAACATGAAATGGTAACAGTTGATGCAACAACGAGAATACCTCATTTTAAACAGCAACTATCATCAATACAAAAGCCAAGAGAATTATCTAGAACCCCCCAAATTCTCCATCAGAGCTGGAAACCAGAACGAAGCAAACGAGACAGAGTTTCCAGGCTGGCAACATTTAGAAACAGCTCTATGTGATTTATGCAAGTTTACATCAGGGGATTAAGGTGGGATAAATGGAGCTGTTCAGCACAATGTAGGGCCGCGCAAAAGTGGGCGGACTTCCAAACTTCAAAGAAACACAGAAGCACACACACACACCCACATCCGTACTCACTCCACAGAGGAACCGCCAAGGACCTCCTGGCCCTCGGAAAGGGTCTAACATATTCTAAAATATATTTTTTTGAACATCCTCACTCACAATATTATTATAGCATTAATGAGCAGATGGCCAATTAAAGCAGCATCGTGACCTCAGCAGACAGAAGCTGGTCTGTGTTTCTCACACAAGAAAAGGGTTTTAGTACTGACTGAGAGCTGGTCGTCTCAGTGTGGGCAGTTTAGGTTTTGTTTCTGAAAATGTCAAGATTCCCACAGGTAAAGAAACACCTTCATTGGTACAGAGGCCAGCTGTGGTCGACTCCGTTTTGCTATCAGATTGGGTTAGAAATTCAATCTAATAACAATAAAAAGAAAGACCTGAGCAGAAGGGATGCTCTGAATGCTAGTTCAGGCACTTAGTGGCTGGTGTCAGGCCCTAAGTGCACAAAAAATATTAATTGAACTCACAAGGGCATTCGAAGCTGGTACTGATTTATGAAGTGGAAAAAGGGGCAAAACTTCTGTGAGTTTGTGGTCCAGACCGGAAAAAATGAAACTATATATATATG